ACTAAGTCCAATGTTTCATTTCTTTTACTTTGAACAGGTTTTATTACCACACCCAATAAATTGGTCATTCATTCATTAAAATACATTTTCACTTTCAAAAGCCTTCTTTTGCAAAAGAGCAAAGCAAAACCAAAGCTCAAACATCATGTTGTGATAGGGATGATTTAAGCTTTACATGTCATTATCAAAGATCATGTACAAAAGCACAAAGTGGCTGAGCACATTTTCATACAGGCTGGCCTGACCTCCTTGCTTAGCCCCTCCTCTGCTTTCTTGCATGCTCATACTGTTACAGTGACTCCATATTTCACCTCTACCATTCTTTTCTAGTCCACATCTTAATTATAATTTGCTAAATAATGCTAAACCAGATTTACTTTTTCTAGATAAGGCATTATCATTAAAAAGAATAATACTATAGTAAAAACACTAATGGATGGGCATTCACTTGTGCCAGGACCTGGATTTGGGGAAAGACAGTAAGGAGCACCATGATAAAGTCAGTCCCTCATGGCATCTGCTTACCATCTGGTAGGAAAGACAGCAAACAAGGAACTGCAAAGGATATGACATGCCCCTTGAACTGTTTAATGAGAGCAGAAACATAGGTAGGAGCTCCTATTCTAAGCACATTGTGATGGGGTGAAAGAGGGAATGCAAAAGTGTTCCAGGCAAAGAACAGGTTTGAGGGGAACCTGAGCCAAAATGAAGACAAGGCAGGGGAGGGTTCTCAGGACCCAGCCAGTGCTGGGCTCTGTTAACCAGTTAATCCCCTAGGACCGCTTTCTCTGCCTGTTCGTAAAGAATGCCCTGGAAGTGGGGAGGCAAAGGCTGCTGTGGTCGGGTGAGCGCCAGCGGGGCTGACCTCAGAGATGGAGAGTGGACAGATCTGGCAGACACTGCGGAGGTCGACAAGGCTTGGTGACTTGGGGAAGGAGGGGGGTGGGCGAGAAAGAGCTGAGAGGGATGGTTTCTGGATTCCTGCTTGGGTCCCACTTACTGCTCAAGCAGACCCACTGAAAACAAGTGTGAGAAAGGGGATTTCAAGGCTGCCCACACCCGACTTTGGCCTTGGATACACACAGCCACAGGTATGAGCTGGAAGGATTTATTACACAATTGAAGTTTAATGCTTCGAATTAGCTTCCTAGAACTAAACCTCACAGTCAATACGAGAAAATCTGGGCTCCAGACACAGAAAGCAGCAAGACCAAACACCTCATCCAATAAAGGGAGGATCAGCACCCGGCCGCCGCCCGCTCCTCCCTTCCCGATCCCGATCCCAGCATCCGGCTGCCTCCCGCTTCCAGTTCCAGGCTCCTGGGCCCCTGGCCCGGCCGCCAGTCCTCCCACCACCTACCCCGGCCCGGCCTCCCGCCCCCCGAGCTCCGAGTGGCCGATGCCGTCTCCTGCTCCCCGAGAGTGGTGTGTCCCGCCCCGTCTCCCGCTCCCTGGCCCGGCCTCCCGCCCCCGAGCTCCGAGTGGCCGATCCCGTCTCCTGCCCCCCGAGTGTGGTGTGTCCCGCCCCGTGTCCCGCTCCCTGGCCCGGCCTCCCGCACCCCGAGCTCCGAGTGGCCGATCCCGTCTCCCGCTCCCCGAGTGTGGTGTGTCCCGCCCCGTGTCCCGCTCCCTGGCCCGGCCTCCCGCACCCCGGGCTCGGTGCCCCCGGCCCGGCTTCCCATCTCGCGGGTCCCGGCCCCGGGCCCAGCCTCCTGCGCGGCCGGCTGCAGCGCGTGCCCCCGCCCCCGTCGTGGTGGCAAAACAAAGGATCCGCGCCCAGCGCGCCCATCTCCTCCGGCTCCCTGCAGCGGCTGCAGCCCCGGGCAGGTCCCTGGGGTGGCGCCGGGCTTGGGAGGCCGGTGGCGGCGGCCCCGGGGCGGACGGCGCCGCGGCGAGGGCGGCACTCACCGCACGGCCTCCTCACAGCCACCAGCCGCTCGCCCGGCTCCGCTTCTGGAGGCTTCCGCGCCCCGCGGGCCCAGGAGGTGAGCTCGGGCGCCAGCCCCCGCCGGCGCCGCCCCCGGCCCGCCCCTCGCGGCCCCGCGCGCCCAGCTCCGCCCTGACACGTCCCTCCATCCCGCCGCAACTCCGCCCCGCGGGGTCGGGCGCCGGCTTCCCGCCGCGGCTCGCCCCCCCGCCCCGCGTTCGCAGGCCGCCGGGCGCGGCTTCCGCCCGAGCCGGTCCAGGTGTGGAGCCGGGCCCCGCTGGGGGCCCCGCCGCCCCGTGCGAGCTCCAGGAGTAAGGGGAGCAGGCCGGGCCCCGCACCGGTAATCTCTACTTCCCCTCGCGTTTCCTTCGGTCACCCCCAGTTCCCGGCCCTGAAATCACAAGCCTTAACTGCCCGTGCTGCCCTTAACTGCCCGGCCTGTTTTGCGTCACGAACTTGCTCCAGACCCTGAGGCAAACTGAGTCGTCGCAGGAGACTGTACCAACACACGTGAGCACAAATTCTGCATCAAATTTCAAGGAGTTTGTAGCGTTTTAAGTCAAGCCAGGAACCCCATGGTAGAACCAGCCGGTCCCAACGCTTGTGTCTATTCGGGTATAAGTCAGAGGTTATATTCTGTACACAAATATACATAGTTATATATGTGGCTACCATTTGTTGAGTACTTATTCCATGCTCTTATAGTTTCACAATACATTTTCTTATTTCATCCTTTCAACCATCCCTCGGGGTAGGAATTACATTCCCTACCCAAGTTTAAGGAGGTTTAAGTAGTTTGCTCTTGCTAAAAGGAGAGTTGTAGGAGTTAAACTTATCCTAAAAGTGAAACTTAGGCCTTTTTTTAATCCCTCCCAACTGAGGGAGAACCAGTGTTTGGCAGTCATTTTTCTGCTGCCTTAAAACTGAGGAATTGGATTCCCTCCCAAACCGGCCAGTGGCTTGGCCAGGCAGTGATGCGGCAGGAGGGGACCAGTACAATGTGTTGAACAAGACCTCCTTACCCCATTGTGAGGGCCAAATCGCTTCCCGTGCTCAACTGTCTTACCAAAGTGATAAAGCACCAGCAGTAGTTTTCTGTCTTCCTGTAAATTATGCTAATTTGCTTAGTCTGGAGAAATTTTAATCATAGCACAAAATAGGCTAGAGGCAGTGTCTTCTGACTGAGCCCAATAATTTTTCTTTACAGAGGTGTACCATAGGTGACAGAACTCGATCTGGGCCGGGAAGGGGACAAATCCGTGAAGGGCGACGCCAGGCATTCCAGGTGAGAGAAACACGTGCAAAGGGGCTTCTGGAGTGCTCCAGGAAGGGGGAAGAGGTCATTACCATTTATTTGCTGAGAAGTCTGAACATGAAGGTTAAGGAATAAAACAGCTAAGTGCCAGATTCTAGAGGGGAGCTTAGACTTCAAGAGGTAAACTATAGTGTGAATTCACTGATGCTGTTATCAACGGAAAAGAACCCAAATTCTGTAAAATAATTTAAAGAGGTTTATTCTGAGCCAAATACGTGCTGCCATGGCTCGGAGAGCCATGTCCAAAAAGCTTTGAGCAAGTGGTCCTGCTGTGGTTGGGCCACAGTTTGGTTTTATGCCTTTTAGGGAGACAAGAATTACATGTAAATCATGAATCAATACGGGGAAGGCATACATGGGTTTGGCCCAAAAAAGCAGGACATCTCGAAGTAGAGGATTACAGGTTTTAGGTAGGTTTAAAGATTTTTTGATTTTTCATTGGTTAAAGAAATGAAGCTGTGAAAGGCTAAGAATGTTTTAAATTCAGGAAGTCTGTTAATCAGAGACAAGCTAGAGCATATGCAGAAGCTCAATTGAGTAAATTGATGATCTGCAGCAGGTTGGTTTAAGCTTTGTCTTACATGGCCTTAGGCCTGTTAATGATTTTGTATCTTATTGTTACACAGAATAACTCCAAAAGGTACGGGCATAACTAGGCAGTCAGACTTCCCTTTTCCTCATGGCCAGCAACTTAGCTTTAAGATTTTTTTTTTTGGTTGTGGGGGAGAGGGGGTCCTCTATTCAGTTGGCTGGGAGGCTTAAGATTTTATTTTAGTTCACATTATGAATCATTAATTAGTATCCGTCTGAAAAGTTATGAAAGTGGTTTAAGGGTGATTAGTCTGGCAAAAATGTGCTGTTTGGTTAGGAGATCCCGTGGGGAGGATGCACAGGAGGAAATGGAAAACAACAATTTATTGCCATGTGTTTTCTTACCTCTTACAAGAGGTTTTTGGGAAATTTAGCTATGAGTTACTTCTGTTCAAGCATAGATAGCCAAAGGGACTAAAGTAAAAAAAAAAAAGAAAGAAAGAAAATGTAGTCATTTATTGTATTTATTTTTTAGAAAATGTTATTAATCTGGGAAGTAAACTTATGTAATTATATTTTTGTAAATGAATTTTGATCACTTTATACTTTATGATGAATACTTTAACATGGGAGAAATAGTATAAATGCATTCAAAGGGGCCAGAAAAGGGATTATATTAAGAAATCATTGTCAGATACCATATTACTGAATACTAGCACTAGAGTATTGCCAGAAAACATAAAATACTGATGAATCTAATCTCAGGATGGAGGGAGAAGTTGGAGCTGAGGAATAGAAATTGACTCATGATTAGACAGAAAGAAAAGAAAAAGAAACCTGGAGAAGTGAGCTAGAGAGAACCATGGCCGGGCTGGCTTCAGTTCCCCCACCTCCCACCTCCCCAAGCCAGTGACTATAGAGGTGGTGTCCTCTAGTCCAGCTTCTCCTAGGAATCAGGCCATCAGGTGTTACAGCTGGGCAAGTCTGGGCATAGACCCATAGAAGCCAGGGCTCCTTAGTTCTGAGTCATCTCTCCATTTTCATTCCCATTGCCCCTTCTCCCACTACAGTTATTTTAAAAAAGGACTAACCCAATCTTTTTTGTAGCTTGACCACCTTTAGTTGTAAAATCAGTATGGAACACGGTTAAATAAGCATGTGGTGCAACGTTAAGAAGTAAAGAATAGAGCTCTTTAACTCTACTCTTTTAAAACACAATAAATATTTTCGTTTGGAACTTGGAAATTATTACCAAAAATAGTTATGGTTCCTGAGTGAAAAGGAGTTTTGATACACAGTTATGTAAAAGAAAGACAGCATTCTTTCCCACCAGGCATTAAAAGGATTTCTAATATGGTGACATACCCTCCCAGAGGGTAGGGATGAGGAATGTGATAGTCCCCAGCTAGAATACCAGATGCCTTCCTGGTCTCCATTTCCTTTGTTTTTGTCATTCAGCCCTCCTTGTGGAATAACCAAAGTACCAGTTGTCTTCCCCAGCTGTTAAATTGTCAAGCTGTGCAAAGATCACAGGGGCATGACACATACTGAACTTCTTTTCCTCTGTTGATGCTCCAGGTTTCCCCCCATCCAGTGAATCTTAAATTGGTTTCCACAGTGACTCCATGACATTCATGTATGACACATTCCCGTGGTCCTGTCAGGAGTTTACAAAATCAAGAAGATTTTTCCTGATGTCAGTGTCCCCAAGCGTGAACATCCACATAATCATTTCTAGTCAGTTATGGGTCAGATACTAGCTGCGATTCCGATTACATTCTGTCAGATATGCTTGCATATCATATTTTCTTCATTTAGTAGTACCCAGTGGACTTTGTTAAAAGTTAATAAGTTTCATAGAAGGAAGTCAGTTTCTTGATTAGGTTTATCTAAATATAACAGATTTTAATCTGTATGTGAAGCAGATTAAAGTAAACTGAACACTCAGAATCTATCTAGAAATAAGGAGCCCTATCGTATCACTTTGAGAGCTTGTTTGGAGGTTCTAGCAGGGGAGCGCCGCTAATCATATACCTTTGACCAAAGACCCCCGTCCCTCTCTAACGGGGAAGGTCGTCCTCTTCAATCGAGCATGCAGCTTCCGGAGGGATGCACATGGAGCGGTGAGGGAGGAAGGGGAGGAAGGGGCCTAGCCAGCCAGATCAGCCAAATCAACCCTGGCGATCAATGGGGTGGCAGATGTCGCAGCCAGATCGCTCTCACATCCCATATCACTTTGTTTTTTTGTTTTTGTTTTTTTTTTTGAATGTTTTCAGGAGACATCCCATATCACTTTGTATTGACATTTTTTACAAAATTGTTCTATCTCCTCAATCCAATAAAATCATATTTTAGGCGTATCTGTTTTGAAATTTATATCGATGCCTTTAGGATTATATTTCTGTTTCTTGGTTTATAATTAATAATTTTCATGTGGATTAGGTATAATTCTGAGAGACCAATCATAAAAATGTTTTAGGCTACATGGATCACTTTTTTTTTTTTTTTTTTTTTTGAGACAGGTCATCATCTCTGTTGCCCAGTTTGAGTGGTCGCTATGGCGTCAGCCTAGCGCTCACAGCAACCTCAAACTCCTGGGCTCAAGCATCCTCCTGCCTCAGCCTCCGAGTAGCTGGGACTACAGCATGCGTCACCATGCCTGGCTAATTTTTCTATATAGTATTAGTTGGCCAATTAATTTCTTCTACTTTTAGTAGGAGATGGAGGGTCTCGCTTATGCTCAGGCTGATTTCGACTCCTGACCTCAGCCAATCACCACCGCCTCGGCCTCCCAGAAGCTAGGATTACAGGCATGAGCCACTGCACCCGGCCTCTTTCTTAAATCTGTTATGGTTGATATCAAATTTGAAAATCATGCGTGTAATATGGCCTTTATCTGTACAACAGGTACATCATATTCTTACCCTCTTTTTATTTTTTAGGGTGATGCTATTTTTCTCTTCCAGGGAAAGAATATATCAGTCTTTGCCCAATGGAGTTTCGTGTTGCTATCAATGTTTTGTCTGCTTAAAATTTAAAGAAAATATTTGTCAACTTCATAAGCACAAAGGAATTTACCCTCAAACGACACTTTAAAAGCACTATCACATTAATTTTTATTTTGCTTAAAAAAATGTCTCAATGTGGGTATAATATCGTCTGGTTATTTACCGACATTAATTTAACCGGAACAATGTTAGGATGAATCGATGGACAAGTGAATAGAAATATTCATGAAGACGGGCGCGAGTATATCACGTTACCTAATTGCATAAAAAACCAGACCTAAAAAACTAACCTGGCTTAAAAATAAGAAGCCAGAGACGGTGCTCACGGGCTCTGTAATCCTAGCATCGCTGAAGGCAGACGGCAGGCAGATTGCTCAAAGGTCAGGAGTTCGAAACCAGCGCTGAGCAAGAGCAAGATCCCGTTCTTAGCTCATAAATAGAGAAGAAATTATATGACGCTAACTAGAAATATATAGAGAAAAATTAGCCCAGGCATTGGTGCGCATGCCTGTGAGGCTCAGCTACGCCGGAGGCTGAGGAGAAGGGATTGCTTGAGCCCAGGAGTTTTGGAGGTTAGCTGTGAGCGGAGGCTGATGCCACGGCAGCTCACTCTACCTTGAGGCAACAAAGCGAGACTGTGTCTCAAAAAAAAAAAAAAAAAAAAAAATATATTATATTATAGACCGAGAGAGAGAGAGAGATTTATTTTTTCTTAACAGTTCTGTGAGCTGGCTGGGCAGTTCTGTAGGTCTCTCCTGGATTCCCTAGGGTGTGGAATTCAGATGATGGCTGGATGATCCAAAATGGCCTAACTCAACATATCTGACAGTTGGTGCTGGCTATTGGGTGGGATGCCTTGGTTCTTCTCCATATACAGCATGACAATCTCAGGGCAGGACTCTAAGATAACCTAATCTGATGCAAAAGCACATATTAAATCTCTGCTTGCTTCACATTTGTCAATGTGACATTGGCCCAAAGCAAGTCATATGATATGGCCAAGCCCAGAGCCTGTATGAGAGTGAGCTTAGATGGCATCTCTTCATCTAAGAAGGAAAAAATGGCAAGAGGTTTGTGGCTGTTTTTAATCTACAGTGTAAGCCCTCCCCCCATCCCGGCTTTCTAAAAACTCATCCTTTTTCCTTTGTAAATCTTAATCCGAAATTGAGTGAGTATCGCATGGCCCCTTACCTTGGCATGGCTAACGTGGAAGTATTGTATGGAAAGAAAAATCACCCGGTATAGCCTTCCAAAACTAGCCAATATCATGATCCCTATTCACACACTGAGTTATTCCCAACGGAAAGAAACAAATTGAGTTGGGAGGGAAGAGAACCGGAAAGAAACAGAGAAAAAGGGAACTAGGAGTTGCACATTGATGTTTAGAAATGAATTCTGCACTGAAAATAATAGCAGAAGAATATTGGGTGAGGTGGCAGCACCAGTGGGGCCAGGTAGGTAGCGTGATGCAATAAAATGGTTATAATGAAAACCGTAATGAAACAGAAAGCACTTACATTTTACACGAGGCTTTGTAATTTAGAGAACATTTGTATATATCTTACCACATTTATCCTCAAGGTAAGTATGTAAAGTATTTAAGAAGATCCTCCTATTTTGCAGTTGATTAAACTAAGACTCAGGGAGTTTTATTAACCTGTCCAAGGTCATCACAGTATTAGATGGAAGAGCCAGCATCTAAGGATTTCTGATAGCCAACCCTGTTATTCTCTGGTAAAACTGCATGCAAATAGTAAAATGTAAAGCAAACCAGGAAATGAGTTTTGAAATTTTATCAAGCAAAATATGCTCTAAACAAGGAAATTAATGGCCTTTTTGTTTGTTTGTTTTAGTAGTAATTGATAGAAATCTTACATGGGATAGGATTTATTCCCTCCATACTTCTGAACCAATGAACAGAAAATGGGAAGCAAAACTGAAGCAAATTGAAGAACGAGCATCTCATTATGAGAGGAAACCGTTGTCCTCAGTCTATAGACCAAGATTATCCAAGCCAGAAGAACCACCCTCCATTTGGAAACTATTTCATCGCCAAACTCAAGCTTTTAATTTTGTTAGAAGCTGTAAAGAAGTAATTGCCTCATTCTCTTCTCTTTCTTTTTTTAGAGATACTATAACAAGATTTAAAACAATAACAAAAATCTGTTATTTTTCTTCATTTCAGGCCATGCACTCTACCAAGAGAATTTAATGGAAATCTTAGTAGCATATGATTTAAAAAATATATCTCTACCAATCAACCATTTAATTTATATTTGTAATGAAAAAGAATGGCATATCTAGTGTCAATTAGTTTGAAAAGTTTACAGGCTGAGCCCAGTGGCTCATGCCTGTAATCCTAGCAGTTTGTGAGGCTGAGGTGGGAGGACTGCTTGAGGCTTGGAGTTCAAGACCAGCCTAGGCAACATAGTGAGACCCTGTCTCTGTGAAAAATAAAAAAAATTAGAGCCAGGTGTGGTGGCACGCTACTGTAGTCCCAGCTACTCAAGAGGCTGAGGTAGGAGGATCCCTTGAGCCCAGGAGTTTGAGGTTGCAGTGAGCTATGATGATGCCACTGCACTGTAGCCTGGGCAACAGAGCAAGCCCCCATCTTAAAAAGAAAAAAAATTGTAATGACATTTAAATAAACATTATGCTTAGAGGACAGGTGACCATATTTATTGCCAATACATTAAGTAAGTGGGAGAAAGAAGTGCTTGCTACATGCCAGCCTTACAAAGGGCATGGTGCTCAAAAAATAAAAATTAATAAATCATATATATATTGCACATGCTTTTTTTGTTGGTCACCGTGGGGAATATAAAGAAGTAGAAAAGATAAGATGCATATATGAAATCTAACATAAATGTATTGAGAGTCTGATCACTGATGTTATATAAAAGCTCAAAGTGCTAGAAATCTTAGCAGAAAGATCCCTCTTTCCCTAGGAAAGAGACACTCAGGCAAATCTCATAAGAATAGTTTAGGAAATAAAAGAGATACCTTTCTTACTCATTTTGTGTAAACCTAATTAAGGTGTCAGAAATTAAAGTACCGATTCATTTGAACTTGAATTTTGTTGATATATATATTTTTTTTAGGTAAGCATGAAAATATGAGGTTTATCGAGGAGAGGAAGATAGGATTATAGGGTAAGAGCAAGATATAGGTTTACAGAGCGTGATACATACACCACAGATGACGACCAGACCCATTGTGGCAGCAAATGGAGAGCAAAAGGAAGGGCAAAGAGGAGTTGAACTTGAATTTTTAAAAAGAGTGTGTGCTTCCTGGACTTGCCAGTCACCATTTTATAAAATTCAATTCAAAAAGATTTTTAATAGAGTCAAGCAACTAGTCCTTGTGTGATTTCTCATGCATGAAAAAAAAATAGCCTCACCAGCTACCTTTAGCTAAGTGGAAACAAAAGAACTTGTATACATATTCCATTATTGGAAGAAATTATGGCAGGAGTCATGAAGGGTTGTATTTAATGCCACAGTAATTAACCTTTAAAAAATTGGTTCCCTTGGCGCGTGGTGGCTCACACCTGTAATCCTAGCACTCTGGGAGGCCAAGGCCGACGGATCAGATTGTTTGAGCTCAGGAGTTTGAAACCAGCCTGAGCAAGAGCGAGACCTCATCTCTACTAAAAAAATAGAAAGAAAGTAGCCGGATAACTAAAAGTATATATATAAAAAAATCAGCCGGGCATGGTGGCACATACCTGTAGTCCCAACAACTCAGGAGGCTGAGGCAGGATTGCTTGAACTCAGGAGTTTGAGGTTGCTGTGAGCTAGGCTGACGCCATGGCACTCTGGCCCAGGCAACAGAGTGAGACTCCTGTCTCAAAAAAAAAAAGTATTGGTTCTCATATTTTATATGTACTAGAGAATGTTAGCTCAGATTATTTATAATACTGTTTAGGTAGTTTTGAAAAATAAGTTTAATTATTTTATAAACTAAGAAAACTATCCTAGGAAGTCAAACTAGAGTAATAGAATTAAAAATGATTTTTCTCCTTTTTTCCTCTTTTTAATCTGTATATTCAAATTATTTTCACTTTGTGCATGTATTATGTGAATGATTAAAAATAAATATAAATAATTAGATTTTAAATGGTATAGATGTAGTGACTGTCTTGTTTTTAATAAGTATTCAAATTCCAGTTTCTGAAAATTTGAATGATATTCTTTATGAACATTCAGTAGCTACAGTTGAATTTAGGTTTGCATTTTGTGAATTTTTCTGATTATTATTTTTGATTTTACACAGGACGTTCATGTATTTGCCTTGGAATGCAAAGTGGAAGATGGACAACGTATTTACCTTGTAACAACCTATACTGAACTTTGGTTTTACTATAAATCCAGGTAAGTAGTGTGTAACAGAAAACACATTTAAGCTGAAGTTACATTTCCTTCATCTAGTAGTTTTGATGAAATTAATTCAGGCTGAATTAGCTTTCACAGTTCTTGAGCACATGATTAGTTACTCCTTTACTGTCAGAATTGAGTTCTGGAATTCCCTTGTTATAGCAACACTTGATTATCTCACCAGGTGCTGGGAGAAAATAACCATAGGCACACATACATACATGGATGTACCCAAAGGGAATTTTGAAATTTCTCTTGTAAACAAGTATACTATTAATCACAAGTGAATACTTATTAATAATAAAGAAATATATTCTTTATTATTTTAAGTTATTTTAATTGAGTGATCTAGTCAGCTATTTCTCAGACTTGAGAAATGTATGGAAAAGGAGACCAAATTGTTATGGATGCTCTGTATTGACTTACAAGTATTTGGGGAGGGGGTAAGGAAAAAAATCCTTTTATTACAACGTTGCTTAAGTAGCTTCAAATATAAAACTAGATTTATTTGTGTTTATAAGCATGCAACATTAGCTAGAGTTGAATTAAAATCATGGTATGTTTTGCTGAAGCTAAATCTTATCTTGCAATGTAAATATGGTACTAACTGCTCCAGGGCATGTGTGTGTTGTGAGCAGTGAGACATGATAATACAACCCACCTATCCCTTTTCCTTTTCCAAATTACTACAAATTCTTTATTTGTATAGGATGCCATCTGAGCGTCACTTGGCCCAAATTATCATTTTACGTGTTAAGTCGGCTTCTGTTGTTAACCCATGCCAAAGTCAGTTCTCTTCTTGCCAGCAAGAACGTAACTGAAGTCATGAACATTAAAAGCTTTTTAAAGTCAGGTGATTCAGAAATTTTTTAACAAATTTTTACAATATTATCTTTCTAATGCAAATAAAAAATATAAAAATTCTCATAGAAAATTCATGGAATCCCGAGAATATGTGATCCTGGGATCCCAGTTTGAGAAAGAAATTCTTTTCTCAAAATTTGTTTCATGGCGACACCAAAAACAAATATAGGGATATTATACAATATCAGAATCATCTGAGAATAAGAAACACTATGAGATTGTATTTTCTGGGTAAATAATGTTACAAAATACAATTGTTACATCTTGTTTGGAGGAAATTCTGGATACTATGAGCCATAAACCTATGGTAAACACATTCACTTTATCATGTCATTATTTCACACTTATATGTAGTTAAAGCAAAGTTAACACCATACTTGAGATATAAGATCAACTTCAGTGATTTAAAAGGTATAAGATAAAAGTCTAATAATATCGAATTATTCAATTTAGAAAAAATCTCTTGCACTGCTATGAAGTTATTCCTGAAAATGCTGTGTGCAAGCTTTACTTCGACTTGGAATTTAACAAACCTGCCAATCCAGGAGCTGATGGGAAAAAGATGGTTGCATTACTCATTGAGGTATGTGACACACTCGAGTTTTTCCTCCTTTTCTCGATCCATCCATCTCTTCATTCACTTACTCATTCACTCAGTGGAGTGACAGTAGGCTCCTATCTCTGCTCCATTTTCTTACCACTCTTCCTTTGACTCTCATTTTTCAATATCTCTTCTATAAACTGAAAAGGAAGAAAATTTCAATTTATGTTCATATATTTTGTAATATAATATTGCTATATCTGGTAAAAAAAAAGCTTTGAAAAAGATGGCATCGCTAAAATAAATATACAAAAGAAAAAAGGAAAAAGATGGCAGTTTGGGAATTTTCTGTTTTTAATTATATAGTAATTCTCTGATTTTCATTACAAATCACTGATTCGGGTAAAGGCTAGGCAAAGTAATTTTTACTGTGAAAATTGGATATAGAGATAAACCTCAAGAAAATTTTGATTAAAAGTAGTAGTAGAGTTTTTCAGCTGGTAGAGATTTTGAAAATTATTTCATTCTGTCATAAATGAAGAAATTAAGACCTACGAGAGACTAGCGCCTATTCAAGGCTCTGCTGCTAGCTGTTGGTGAAACCTTGTCTACAAACACAGTTATCACTATTTTTAACTAAGAGAAAAGAATGTAGTTCTAGTATTTATTTTTGACTTAGTTATGTCAACTAGAAGTTACTAAAAAAGGAATAATATGAGCTTATGCAGCTAAGTTCCATTATGATATTTCCAAAGAAATTTTAAGATTGTATTGATAAAGTTGTGTTAAAATTGTATTGGTTATTATTTGGCCTCAGAGTAGCTATTAACATTTATTGATGAGTTAGTTTTTCTTTTAGATGTTAATTGGATAATTTTGTAGATGACCCATTTTATTTTATTTTTTATTTCAAAATGTTAAGGGTGATAAAAATGTTTTGGATTACATGGATCACTTTTGTAATGCTTGAGTCCTGGCTATAGGTGTGCCTGTCACCCAAATAGTGTTCATTGTACCCTTGAGGTAGTTTTTTGCCCTTCCCCTGCCTCCTCTCACCCTTCTTCCCTACCCTGTGATTTAATCTTGAGAACCTGTGAATTTTTTTGACATAAACATGTATAATAATTTAAATACATTTCAATTTTCAAGTAAATTGGTAAGATTATTATAAAAATTCTAATAGTAAATCAAAATTTATTTCTTTACATTAGACTTGTACCAAGACTTTTGAATTTTGCTCATAGAAAAATTTTAAAACAAAAAGTGTAAATTATTTACATTTAACTTGTGTTTTCAGCATGTGTGTAAAGAGCTTCAAGAGTTATATAGTGTTAAATGTTCAGCTGAAGATGTTTTGAACTTGGATTCCAGCACTGATGAAAAATTTAGCCGTCATTTAATATTTCAGCTCCATGATGTGGCATTTAAAGACAACATTCATGTTGGTAAGTACACTGGAGTTGTATCATAGAGTTGTATTTCCTAATCCTCTCAAAATTTTGTAAGTGCTTGTCAAGTTTTTAAAATATATTTTAATCAAATTATGTATTGATTTAAACTTACTTGATTTCTACATTTTATATTTTTTTATTGGCTAGGTCTGTGGAATATCAAGTTTTCTGGTTAGTAACCTATCCTAAAAAATGAAATGTGATTTTTCATGTTTTCGGGATTTGCCCTTAGCTCTCGACTTACCCTTCTGTTCCAGGCGCACTGGCCTGCTCGAGACCCCTGCGGCATTGGCATCTTGCATCATAGGTACTGGGCTGGCCATGCGTGTCCCGGTACTGGTTTCTGCTCCAACAGGATCCATTTCAGTTTTCTGATAATTCACGAGAGGCCTTTTCTTTTCAAGCCTTATCTATCACGCCTCTTATCTGGATTTCTGACCTTTTCTTCAGCCTTTGGGACTTGGGTCCCAGGTCATATCAAGGAAGACTTGTTTATGTTCCAGGCTGAACTTCAGGGTTGGGAGGCAGTGTAGATGCATAAGCCTGAAAGTGTAACCTGAGTAGTTTGTGCCAGGACTAGGCATTTAGAGATACAGGCTGAGGTGTAAAACAGTCAGTCTGGAAGAGAACATGTAGGCAGAATGGGAATACCAAAAACCAGAGTCTGAATAGAAGCCAAAATCCTGAGAGTTTATGAAGGCAAGGGTAGGGCAAGTATTCCTGGGTCCAAACAGCAGACAGTTGACTGAAGCTTGCGTGACAGGTCATCTGTTTCAGAGCTTTGAGTGTCTGCAGTTTCATGGCCACCTAGGGTGAAAGCATAAACATGGTCACTAAGGGACTGGCATGAAAGTCAGGAACCTAACTGCTGGATTAGGGTAATACTGGTCATAGAGACTGAGTGTGTGCTATGTTCACAGGGCTCCTCCTTATCTCCCTGCTTTCTGTTAGCTTAGTGAGATGTTCCTTCCCTGTCTCTTTCCCTCATCCATTAGATATTAGTAATTGTAGAATCTGTCCCTGACCCTCCTTTCACTCTGTCCTCACTCTTGACAATCATCCACTATCATAGCTTTAATAATCATCTGTGTTGTCGACTCTCAAATCTTTGTCTTTGGCCCAGACTGTTGTCCTAGATGCCAGACCCACCCAGCCAACTGGCTAGCAAACTTCCCCACGCAGACACTTCAGACTCAGGGTGCCCTACGCTGAGCTCTTTGTGTTCTCCCCCAGATCCTCTCTTGTGATGTGTGTATCAGTGAGTGGTGTCACCACTCGCTCAAGCAGAAATACTGGTGTCATCTTTAACCTCAGTGTATCTCTCAACCCACCTCCTCAGCTAGCTGCAGTGAGCCGATGACACTGCTTGTGTCTCAGGTGCTTCCATGGTCATTGATTGCCTTCAGGAAGAAGTGCAGCTGTCTTAGGGTACATGGTGAGGTCCCCTGTGCTCCCACCTCATCTCTGACCACCTGCCCTTGTCACCTGCCTGCACTGCGGCCACATCTCTCAGGTTCCTGGGCCTTTGCACAGTGGTGCTGCTGCGTAAACAGATGTGCCTCCAGATTCACCTGGTCTGCTAGGACTCAGGGTAGCTATCAAGTCAGCTGAGACGCTGTTTCTGTCACATCCAAGCCCTAAGATTTAGGTGAGTGTTCCTTTGGGTTGCAGAGAGCGTCCAGTGTTCATCGTGTCAAAGTATTTACCACTTCCTGAGGCCATTTCCTGTCGTCTTGGTCATCTCCTCTATTCCACTTAATGTTTCTTTAGGGGCAGGGACTGTTTCTTATTCACTATTATATTTCCAGAGCTTAGCACATACTAATAATATTGTTATCAATGATATTAATATTAGAACAACCGTAACAGTAAGAGTTACAAGTAGGCATTAAATAAACATTTGCTGAGTAAATGCATGGAAGGTAAGGAGGCCCTGCTGTCGGGGGTGGAGGCTGAGTCCTGAGCAAGCTATTTCTTTGCTTCCTATTCAGTCTTCACACTCTGCTCTGTGACTACTGGGCACAGGCTAAAAACTGAGAATCTGTTGCTCAGGAAGAAGGGGAGAATAGAAATTTGCAAGGTAACCAACAGTCTCTGCTACAGATATCTTCTGAAAGCAGATGATGTTCAACCTGGGCTTTGAATAAGGTATCATGATACAAACAAAGGTAAGAAAGACTTTACTGTCAAGAGAGAACAGCATAAGCAAAAGTATAGTGATAAGAATGTGTGGCTAGATTGGGGAGTAGTGGGAGTCTAGAGACTTAGGCCTGGTAAGTGGGGTGTCATCCAAGGTGCTTGCCTCTAAAACTATGAACAGGTAGAGTCAGAGATGCTGAGAATTACGAAGTAAGCAATGCTTTCCCTTCTATTCCTCTCCCTCAGTGTATCCCTGAGGGCATTTCCAGTGCCCATTGTCAGCCTTTCGGAAAGGGGAAGTAAGAGGTCATAGAATTTCATTTACCTAAAAATCCTCTTCTGCCAGTTTGCCATCCTACCTGAAATTTCTGTGACTAGTTCTTTTGAGTTATTCCAGCTAATAAGATAGTCCTGTCTTCATTAGGGCTGGGGGCGATGAAAGAAGTAGGAAGCAGAGTAGTTTGCTGGGAGCCAGTATGTTAGTGCTGATGCTGGTGACTGTCATCATGTCCTGGCCATGAGCTCCCTGCCGAGGCTCAAAGTCCTACTGGCCACCTCAGTTGCCACCCTCACAGCCATTTCTGCAACCATGTGTTCACTTTTTTTTTTTTTTAAGACAGGGTCTCACCCTGTCACCCAGGCTATAGTGCAGTGGCATCGTCATAGCTCACTGCAGCCCTGAATTCCTGGGCTCTAGTGACCTTCACTCCTTAGCCTCCCAAAGTGCTGGGACTACAGGCATGAGCTACCACACCCAGCCTTATCTTATTGCCTTAGGGTCAAGTAGATGGAATTCTAAGTTTTCAAAAAAATTAACTCTTATCAATTAACATTTATATTGCTTTGTTGTCCTTTGATACTGTGATTTCTTTTAGCTCAGTGTTTATCTTCTCTCCTACATTCCAGAAGCAGTCATGTCTATACAGGCCTATCATTGCAAAGATCAATTGCTTTTGCTTTCATTTTGCCGTTTAGTGCTTTATAAGAAATTGGAGTTGTTTCTTTGAGTAAGGAAGTAATTAACTCTAATTTGGAGAAGGAGAATTTTGAATTTAGAGCATGCGTAAGTTAAGAGTTGAAGCTTTTCTGGTGACTAAAGTGAAGAATAAACCCAGACTATAATAGTTCTAGAGATTAAAATTAATTTTTTCTTACAGTATTGCATTTCTCCAGTATTGTCACATAAAGCTATCAGGTTTTAGTCTGAAATGTCGGTTCTTGGTGCTTCCATGGCTGAAGAGTGACCAGACTCACCAAAGTAAGGTGAGCATGAAAATGAGGTTTACTGAGGAAAGATAGGATTGTAGGGCAAGAGCAAGATATAGGTTTACAGAGCATGATACATGACCACAGATGACAACCAGACCCATTGTCGCAGCAAAGGGAGAGCAGAAGGAAGGGCGCAAAAAGGAACCTCTTTGATTGGACAATTGGGAGTCACATGATCTAAGCCTAAACTATGCATGTGGTGGTTCTAGTTCAATTTCTGGACTCTATGGTACCTATGATGCTTGGCCCATGGGCTAGGGAGTCTTCCACATTCTGTTGCAGCTTGCGCGCCAAGTTCTGATTGGCAGATTCGTAGGGTATTCCCTCCTGCCTCCAGTATGGAGAGAATTAGGGTTGGGCAGGACCAAGATGGGGGCAACAGTACCCACTTTAATCTCTAGGAGACCTGGAATCCCTCACTATCTATAACAAAGCAACTTAATAGCCAGATCACTTGATCGTGGCATAATAATGTATGCGAGTTTAAGGAAGTCTCAGATTGTCTTACACACTTTTCATGGTGCAGGTAGGACCCCCTGTTATCCAGAGTTCTTAGGATGAACGTTGACGTACAGTAAATGTATTGAATTGCGTTAGCTCTGGACTGTAGCTCCAAGGCCACAGCCCATCCCATGACCAGCTCGAGGGAGGTGGGAAAAGCAAGCACTCACTCAACTACGTTGGAGCTGCCAGCTGTGGAAGGGATCGTGGGGCCTGGCCCAGCAGGGGAAGGAGAGGATAGCGCCTGAGAGATGTGCAACGTCTCGACTGCAGAAGCGTCTGACAGAGCTGCTGTCCGTGTTTCTCAGCAGCAGTTCCCTCAGGCAAACCCTCCGCTCCTTACCCAAGGACTGTGAGGGTGACCCCACTCAATTTGCTGTTTTCTTGGAGGCAGCGTGTTTGGCTCAGGCCCGTACTGGCAACGTTGACACACCTTCTCAGATTAACCTTCCCTTCTAAAATGATTTGTTTACAACTGACACCAAGCTCCTATTTCAGCAGGAATTGACAAAGCAAAAGATTGCATAAGAGGAAGGAAGTAGCAGGAGGGGCATGGTATAGTTTATGGTGACCACTCAGTTTCTAACTCAGAAATGAAGAAAAGAAGGCTTACTATGTGTGTAACAGTGTCTTGTGTAGTTTTGTGCCCAGATCTTAAGTTATGGTTTATGGAAAAAAAGAATCAGATTAACCATTGTATCTTTTTTCCTTAGGTAATTTTGTGAGAAAAATTTTGCAACCTGCTCTTCACTTAGCTGCCAACAAGGATGACAGCAGCCCTCCAGAGACAGCAGGCCACGGGGCTCCCCACTTTCCTGAAGCACCAGTAGAACAAGGAATTTCCTTTAACAAAATGTCCACAGATAAGGATCGAGGAGAGAGCTGGACGTTGAATTCAGAGAAACTGGGGACGTGGGGCTCAGCTGAGCAGAGCAGTGCTGAGCTTTCGTTTTTAGTTGTGAGAAACAACATGGGAGAAAAGCATCTTTTTGTGGATCTAGGTAAGTAAAATTGGCAGCTGTCTCTATTAGACTGTCCTAGGTGCTTTTGTGAGAAACAGGTCAGTGTCCGCTAGTTACTGTGCTCAGAATTCTCGCATCCACCGCTGCCCCACAGTGACAGTCCAGCCACTCACAGGATGTGACCGGTGAGTTCGGGTGCTGGGAATCTACTAGGTTTCTGTTTAGAGACCTTGGAGAGGTCCCTGTGGAACGTAGCACTAGGCTGGCCCGAGCTCCAAAAGACAATGCTTGTGGCTGGCTTCTGTTCTAAGTGTCCGGAAGATTCCTGCCAAGGGAGTCATTTTTGTTTTGTTTTGCTTTTTTAGAGATGGGGTCTTGCAGTGTTGCCCAGTCTGGCCTCGAACTCCTGGGCTCAAGCAACCCTCCCACCTCAGCTTTTCTGAGTAGCTGGGACTATTGGTGTGAGTCACCATGCCCAGCTTGTCAAGGAAGTTTTGACAGGGGACTGTTGGACCAGTACTCCCTAACGCTGCTGAGAGGTTAAATTAGAATGCATAAATTTTAAACCAGGCACACTATAAAAACAGTACACATGTAACACAGTAAACCTGGTTGTTTTCCTCACTAAAGATCTTTGTGACAGTGGCAGGAGCCGTTTCTTCTACTTTCTTGGGTGATGAAACTGGTGACTTCTTCAACTCAACGTTGGCTCTGCTTGCCCCGGTCTTGGAACCAGAGCATGTAGGATGCACTGGGCGGATGGGACTTTAGCTAATTCAACATACAGGCCAATCAAGACCCTGAATGCAACAGCTCCGATTTGGTGAACTAAACCTTATTTTTATGCTGAGGTTCTAGCTTGTTCCTTGAAAAGCTAAAAAGCCATAAAAGCTTTTTAGTATTTTTGCCATTGACTGAGCACCTCAGGGAGCTTCAATGTCTAACAGTTAAGGGGAAGCAGGATTAAGTTATAGGCCAGATTCCCAGGCCAACAGTGGTGCCTTAGATTAGAGAAGTGTTCCTCTGTATTGTGTATCTTTCTAGTACCTGTGGCAGTCAAGTGCCAGAATTTGGAAATACAGACAAGGGCCAGGTAGAGCAATCATATGAGTTATGCGTAGGGGAGCATTCTTCCAAATGCCAGGTTTTGTTTTTTTAGCAGGACGCCGTCTCCAGGTTGGACTAGCCTGCAGTAAACTAGGGAAGTAAACTAGCCTGCATAGCAGGAAGTCAGTGCAGGGAGAACAGCGTTAGCCAGTGGATATGCTTGACTCTACCCCAGTGTTAGAGACCCCAGACAGAATCCCCCGGGTCATGGCAGCTCTGTCCTTGGAAATAATTGTTTCTACTAGTACTGCTGTACAAAAATAATGTAATATTTGTTGACTGTAAAACTAGTCATAGAAAACATGTATTAATTTTGTTTTATTAATTTTTGATGTAGGAGTTTATACAAGAAATAGAAATTTTCGGCTCTACAAATCATCAAAAATAGGAAAGCGTGTGGCTTTGGAGGTTGCTGAAGATAACAGATTTTTTCCTCTACAGTCAAAATATATTTCTGAAGAATATCAGTATTTTCTTTCTTCTCTGATCAGCAATGTCAGGTAGGTAGTGCCAGCATCAAACCATTGCATATTCATGAATACCTATTAAAGAGTGAATGTCATTGTGTATTAACTAAAAGGTAAATCATGTAAATTCATTCTATAGTAAGTAAAAGAAAGTTCTTAAAATTCTAAGTTAACCTTTCTCTTTTTTCCATTCACTAAAAAATAATAGGAAAAGGAAATTTTTAAGTTTTCTCTTTATATTTTTTATAGTTATATTTAAGATATTTTCCAGTTTTTCTAAAATGATTATCACTTCTATAAAGAAAACAATATGACTTGTATTTGGAAATAGAATTACTGTTAATGTCTCATATTCTCTTCATAGCATTTACATAGCTCCTTTATTTAAAAAATATTCTTGAAATCATTATTTATATGGTTATGTGACCTGATTTTTGTACTCAACATTATGTCATGAATATTTGCAAAGTTAATAATTTGCCAACAGTTAACTGTACACAAGACTTTTAATGTCTGTATGATTTTCTATTGTCAGTTCCATTGTCGAACTTCTAAGTTCCCATGTTTTGTTCACTTTTAAAAAGTATGAAAGTCATCTTTCAACAGAAATACAGTAAGTCCTCCCTTACCAACATTATAACAAAATGACATTGAACAAAATGATGTAATTTAAGGCACTGCTGTAGTTGTTTTGCTTAACGATGTTTTGTTGGTGATGTTAAACGAGGACTTACTGAATTTGCCTTCCTCTACCTTTTTTCCTGTCTGGGAGTTTCATGAGCCCATAACATGTGGTTAAGGTTCTGACTGACTTCCCATTAACTTGTTATAATTGTTTCCCCTTTGCCTTCCCTAAACATAATTCTAAGGAAAAATTCTATAGAAATTGTGATAATATTTATGTTGCTGTAGGGATAGTTATGTCAGGATATACAGTTAACAGCTATGACCCAGGAGGGTGGGAAGATAGTTTTCGTCATATATTTTTGTACTCTTTTGGGTTCCTTTAATAACATATCTCAGAGGTAAGGTCAAAGTCTTAGTTTCCTTATATCCATTCATTCATTTATTTAAATTTAATTTATTTATGAATGAGACAGGGTCACTCTGTTGTCCCACTAGAGTGCGATGGCATCATCATTACTCACTGCAACCTCAAACTCAAGGTCTCCAGTGATCCTCCTGCCTCAGCCTCCCAGGTAGCTGGGACTACAGGCATGTACTCACCATGCCCAGCTAATTATTTTCTGTTTTTAGTAGAAACTGAGTCTCACTCTTGGTCAGGCTGGTCTCGAACTCCTGAGCTCAAGTGATCCTCTTGCCTAGTCCTCTCAGAGTGCTAGGATTATAGGCATAAGCTGCCATTCCTGGCCAGTTTCCTTACTTTTAAAATGAAAATAATAAAATGAATGAGTGGTTGCAGAAATATTTCCCACACAAAATATCAGTGCCCTGTACACTATGCATTTTAATCGAATACATCGAGACATAAATCTGGAAAAAAAATGAAAATAATAATAACACCTACCTCATGGAGTTAAGGGAATTAAATAAGTTAAAATTGTATGTATAAAACATTTACAACTGTGCCCAGCACATGATGTCTGCTCAGTAAATGCCAGTTGGTAGCAGAAGTATCTGAGATTGTGAAAGTGGTATAGAGGTACTATAAAAATCATATGACTTTTGCTGCCCCCTGTTGTTGGCACCGGAACAAGGTCACATTCTTTTTACCACGTATGGGGAAAGCAACATTTTTAGCCTGCGGTATAGCCTGAAGTGTAGGTAGTTTCCCGATTACCAAATCCCATTTCTTTTGCAGTTTCAATATTAATCTTACAAAAGTGAAGGGTTGTTCTACTGAACAGGGTTACTTTAATTGCTTAATTGCTTTCTGTGTATCCAAGTAAATACCAGGTATTTTTACCTCCTGAAATAAAGGCTAAACTCTTTATGATTGTGAATGTACCTTTTCCTCAGCCAATTTTAATGAGCTTTTCCTTTTGCTTTCGTCCCTCTTTCCTTCATTTCTTCCTATTAGTCACACTTTTATAATAAAATTATGGTAACCAAAATTTCAAAGGCTCTGTGTTTGGGGAATAGAATTATGAAGTTGTCTCCTGGTATTTGTGGGTGATTAATTCTGGGACCCCTGTGGATATCAAACTCCAAGGATGCTCCAGTGCTTGATATCAAATGGTGTAGTATTTGCATAACCTATGCACATCCTCCTGTATACTTTGATTTATTTTATTTATTTAAGGACAGGGTCTCGCTCTGTCACTCAGGCTAGGTGTGGTGGTGCAGTCATAGATCCTGGGCTCAATCGATCCTCCCACCTCAGCCTCTCAAGCAGCTGGGACTACAGGAGTAGGTCACCACTCCTGGCCCTTCTTCAGTGTTTTCAATCTGGGGTTGGTCGAACCTGCAAATGCAGAACTATGGACCCACAGGCCAACTGCACTTCAGTCTGTCACTTTAGCAGTCCTAGAGTCCTCTGATTCACTTTGTAATTGAGGAAAAGTATTGTAAACAGTCACCAACCTACTCTTTTTCAAAGTTTTTTATTTTCTTTAACTGAAAGATCATACTATTTTTATATAGGTAGGGTTAGTGCTTTTGTGGGCTAATGTGACAGAAATATCCCAGAATAATTATCTGTTGAACAAAGGATTTTTTTCTTTTTCTTTTTTTTTAAGACAGGGTCTTGCTCTGTGTCCCAGCTAGAGTGTGGTGGCATGATCATAGCTCACAGCAGCCTCAGACTCCTGGGCTTCAGTGATCCTCCTGCCTCAGCCTCTCAAGTAGCTAAGACTATAGGCGCACACCACTACACCTGGCTAATTTTTCTAATTTTTTTGTAGAGATGGGGCCTTGTTCTTGCTCAGGTTGGTCTCAAACTTCTGGCCTCATGCAGTCCTCCTGCCTCAGCCTCCCAAAGTGCTAGGATTACAGATGTGAGCCACTGAACCTGGCCCAAAGGATTTTAAATATGGAACTTTTTGAAAGTTGTTTCCTTTCTGTAGCTATGCCTCTTTAATTCTAATATAATGTTTGTTTCTTTTTACATATGTTCTTTTTCAGATTCTCAGATACTTTAACAGTTCTTACATGTGACACACCTCAGAATAAACAAAAGGGTGTTGAATATTTTAACAGTAACAACACTTCAGGTAATTTTAAGAAAATAATTTTTCTATCAAAATGTAAGGATCAAAAAATCTATTTTTCCTTTAAATCTTAAGTATTCATATCCATCGATCATTTAAAACTACTTCTAGGTTTCTATCCAAAATGGAAAAAATGTAAAAAAGATATTTATTAAAGTATTATTCACTAATTTTCATTTTATGGTGTTTTTTTAAAAAGTACAAAAATGTGAGTTTATTGTATGAAATAAACACATACCAAAAACTAAAAATTATTTCATCCTTCTCTCCACAGTCTCCCTGTCAAAGGCAGGGAGCCCTTATAATTGTTTCCTGTATAACTCAGCCGAGCTTTTCCTGTATTTCCAATATAGAGAGATCTTCATCATTCTTTTAATGATTGCATGGGTTTTCATGGTCTGAGTCTATCATAATTTAGCCATTTCTGTACTGAAGAACAGATCATTTTTTCCTGAGATTTCTTACCCAAACCCTCCAGTAAACATTTTTATACACATATTTTGGTATATCGTTACTTATAACAGGGAAAAACAGAAAACAATCTAAATGTACAACAAAATTGGATTGGTTACATGCTGTGAAATACTCTGTAACCATTACATTTAAATTTATAAAACATATGTAATATGGAAAACACCCATGCATGATGGTCAGAGAAAAAGTAGACTCTAAAATTATATGTATGGTATATAAATCACAAGCTTACTGAAAAATATGGATAACATTTTTTATTTGTTAATTTTCTTCTGGTTGTTGGCCATGTATTTGTAGACATTGACTTGGAGTTATTTCTCTCATTTCTACATTAATATATTTTCCAATATTTCTCTAATTATGTATATTACTTTTGCAAGTGAAATATAGTCTTCATTTTAAGAACATTAGATTTTTCTGTCTTTAAAATTTAAATGTTTTAAATTGGTCGTTCTAAATTATCGCAGTAGATTCTTGGATGCACCGTATAACTGAATTGTCAGTGCCCTCTAGCCACGGCCCCCAGGGCACACACCCATACTGAGCCTGCTGAGTTTATCACTCAGGAAGCAGTGGAGAACGCAGACCCTGGGAACCGTGGGGCATTTTAGCAACAGAGGGTTGGAAAGGACTTTATAGGATCGGGGCTCAGAATAGGTGATTTGCGGAAGTGAACCAGGAAACGTGGGGTTTGTTTGAATTCGGTGTTGTCAGGGACAGTGCTATGATTGGGTATGTTAACCTCATCTCGAAGCCAGGCGGAGTAGAGAAAGGCTGATGCTGCAGTTGGTGAAGCAGCAGCAGTTACTTATGTTAGCCAGGATAGGGGGAGTTCGGTCATTTTCGTGGTTTGGAAAATGTTCCTGTTTTATCTGTGTTCAGACATGATTACAGAGTGGTCTTGTTTGTGTCTTGAATCCTCATGACCACAGAGTGGCCTTAAGTTCTGTGAGCTCGTTTATGTCTGTCAGGAGGCGTGAGCCCCAAGGCTTGGGGGATGGAACGAGGCCCTGCCGGGACGGGAGGGGCTGCTCTTCTCTTGGCCAGGGGAAGACAGCAGTTGAAATTATTTCAGATGTTTTCTATGAAAATTAGTTAACATTTGATCTAATTGAGATGTTTGAATTTTATGTGCTTCAATGTAGGGTCACGAAGGCCATGAAATGACTGAAAGGCAAATTGCAAAAAGGGAAATAAAAAGCTAAGGGTTTACAAAACACATAATTTGTACTAAACAACAATTTAATCAAAATTTAACTTCTTAACTTTTAGCTATTGTAATTCATAATAATAATTCTCTCTGTTGCAGTAGAGACCATCGAAGGTTTTCAGTGTTCGCCCTATCCTGAAGTTGATCATTTTGTTCTTTCTTTGGTGAATAAAAACGGCATTAAAGGAGGTATAGCTAATTTTATTCTTTATGGACTGTTATATAATAAACAGTACCTTTAGAAACATCATTTGCATTTTAGGAATTCGGCGTTGGAACTACTTTTTCCCAGAAGAATTATTGGTTTATGATATTTGTAAATATCGCTGGTGTGAAAACATTGGAAGAGCCCACAAGAGTAATAATATCATGTAAGTAATAGTATTAATCATTTGTGTGCATCTAACCAATATTATATTTTAGGTGTTTATAACTTTGAGAGTCTAAAAATTTTGTTTTTGTAATAAATTTAGTTGTAATAAATAAAGTTTAGTTGTAAAAGTTTAGTTGTAAAAAATAGCTGTTATATTTGTTGAATTTGGTGTTTTGTAATATCTGCATTGCTTTGCTTCTAGCACGTCAGCTTTATTTGTATTTTATTTGGTAAAATCACCCTGTAGTGTATCTTGAGATGACTAAGGTAGAGGTGAGTAGGGCTAGAGAGGAGAGCGCAGGGGACAGGTGAAGAGAAGATGGTGGAAAGTGCGCCTCTCCACCCTGTCGCCATTGGCTCTTGACACCTCATATAAGGTAGATTGAAACTGGGCAGATTTGGGCAAGAAGGAGACTCCTCAGTGTTAAGCAGTAGAGGTTAAGGTTGCGCTAACTCGTTCACGACAAAGCATGATGTTAAAGGAACTAATATTTATTGAAGGCTTGCTGTATAGGCCAGGCCCTGTTTTAGGAATTTTTTTTTAAATGCCCCTGGCAAAAAGAGAAGTAGAGAATGAAGCAAAACTACAAATAAAATTTTAAACAATAAAGGCATATAGTTAGAATAGAGATAAAATAGAAACCCAGTAGTTTTCAGTTGTGATATGAGAAATTTTGCTATTTTATATTTCGTGTCAAAGCAGAGACCGCTGTAGAGTCAGGCATGTACAGCACATGTGCCATGCGTGGGGAGGAGATCATGGAGCTTTTGCTGGACAGCTGGAAGACATGCTGGGTAGCATGAGCCAGTGCCGTACCTGATACACTCAGATGAACTCAGTTTAGGAAAACACCCTCAGAAACTAGGTGCTCAGTACACAAAGCTGTAACATAAAAAAGCACAAAGGAAAAGATCACCACAACCCAGTGATAATTACAGTTATCAATTTGATGTGTTTATCCTTTTGTTCTGTGCATATCAATTTACCAAAAAACACTATCATTAATGATCACACCAAGTTGTATTATGCATCCATAATCTATTGTTTTTTAACTGTGAAATGTATCGTACATATAAGAGTATATATAATTTTAAAGACTAACACTAACATGAACACCTGTCCTATCTACCACCCACCTTAAGAAACAGAACTTGACCAAACCTCAGAAGCACCTTGTGGGCCCTATCCCATTGTCTTCCTTTTCTCTTGTCCTCAGAGATTATAGCCATTATCCTTTTTATTTTATTTATTTATTTTTTTGAGACAGAGTCTTGCTTTGTTGCCCTGGCTAGAGTGAGTGCCGTGGCGTCAGCCTAACTCACAGCAACCTCAAACTCCTGGGCTCGAGTGATCCTTCTGTCTCAGCCTCCAGAGTAGCTGGGACTACAGGCATGAGCCACCGTGCCTGGCTAATTTTTTCTATATATTTTTACTTAGCCAATTAATCTATTTCTAGTAGAGATGGGGTCTTGCTCTTGGTCAGGGTAAGCTGGAACTCCTGAGCTCCAATGATCTGCCCACCGCAGTCCCCCAGAGTGCTAGGATCACAGGCGTGAGCCACCACGCCCAGCCTATAGCCATTATCCTGGATTTTGTGTTAATCTTTTCCTTTTCTTTATGATTTTTTGCTTATATGTTTATAATGATATATTTTACATGTTTTGGGTTTTTTTCCCCTAACCTATCTCTTTAATTATACATGTTTTTGAATTGCATCCTTTCGCTTAGTTTTTGGTCAGCACTATATCTGTGAGGTGCATCCATGTCACAGCAAGTAGCTATTGCTTATTTCATTGCATGCCATTATATAAATATAAATATGTCACAGTTTATCTGTTGTCCTACATTGGACATTGTTTTGTAGAAACCATGAAGCTACGAACCTTCTTGTACATACCACCTTGTACACATGTGTAAGAAGTTCTCAAAGCATGTATCTAAAAGTGGAATTGCTGTGTCGTAGAATATGTACATATTTAATTCTACTAGATAATAAATTGTTTTCCCAAATGGTTGTGCTAATTTATACTCCTGCCAGCAGGGTTTCAAGATTTTCTACTGCTCCATATTCTCACCACCACTTTAATATTATTAGGTTTTAAAAATTTGTTTTGCTAATCTGGTAGGTATAAAACAATGTTGTAGTCTTCATTGGAATTTCCCTGATACCAGTGAAGTTGAGGATTAGACTACTGAAGCACACTCCCGAGAATCAGGATCTTACCCAGTATGCAGCTTTACTAACAATGTGAAGGATGTAAGGAATGAAAAGGTTCAGGTGACACAGAGCAAGGCCTGAGATAGCTGGCACGGCCGTCCAGGTCCCTCCTGCTCTCTGACTCAGGGGAATCTGGCAGAAGTGAGCGGTCACTGCACACAGCAAGGGGCACAGAGGCTGTGAGATATCTGTACTTACACCCATACAGTGGCATAGCATGGGTGACAGTTCCAGGAAACCATGCCTCATAAATCCGTAGACTTAGGTTTATTTACCATATGCAATCCTAAAATTAGAAATATCCTACAAAGGGCATTCTATAGATAAGGACTCTGCTCCTAGCATTTGATCCAGAGGTTCCCAGATTTTCTTGGTTTCTGCTGCCCCTGGTGTCTTAGTTATTTTTTTCACATTTGCTCCAAGGCAGAAAGAAACAGTTACGAGCTCTGTTAATGAATTACTTTCAAACAACTTGATAAGTATTTATGTCCTAACAATTTAGCAGCTGTTTGAAAAATAATATTCATATATTGAAAGAACATAATACTTTTATTTCATTCTTAAGTACTCTTAATTATTAATGGGATGTGTGCCCTTTGGGGTATTGCATAACCTCTAAACCTTGGAATCAGACCAGACACCCTCACACCTACCTCCTCTCTTACTCCACATCGATGTTGATGGTACTTTTTATCACAACCACCACCAAAAACCCCAGCTCTTCGAAGGTGGGACATCATTGAAAGGAATGAAGTATGATGCAATATTGAAGATAGGAACTGCAAGCAAGTAGTTCTCAGGGAACTTGACAAATGCCAAGTATCACTGTGTTTTCTAGAAAGATTTAAATATCCTTCAGTGCACCAGGGTACTTTAGTGTAGTTGTGGAGCTATAGCAGTAGTCCATTCATTAGAGTGTCTGCTATTAGAATGTTTATGAGGAGATGAGACTGGGTCACCTGCTGTTTTCTCTCCTGGGTACATGTTCCTCACCACCTCCTACCCCCTTGCCCCCTACCTCACTGACTGCCCCACAGAATGTAAGCCATTTTATGTTTCCTTTTCTGTAAATGTGAGAAAATTTTAAACTACTTAATCAAATTTTTAAGGTTTTTTTTTTTTTTATTGGTTATAGTGTTGTTTAGGTTTTTTGTTACCTCTAAGTTTGCTTAGTTTGGTATATTTTATTTAGTACTTTATCAATTTCACCAAAATTTTCAAAGTTACTGGTCAAAGTTGCCCATAATATTCTTAAATTTTATATATGATGCATTTAATTTCTAATATTTATGTATTATTTTTTGATCAACCTTACAATTTTATTCTCTTCAAACTTTAATTCTTTTTAGTTTTAGCTTTTAACTACTTCCTGCCTTTTATTTTATTAAGATTTATTTCTATTACTCATTTTCCAAGTTAGTTTTACTTAACTCATTTCTTTGAGCCATTCTTCTTTCATAATATAAGCTTTTCAGATTATAAATGTCCCTCTCAAGTCATTTTAGCTGCATTTCACATATTTTTAATATGTAGATTTCCAGTTCCACTAATTTCCATTATTTTTCCTTGAGCCATTGGTTAGAGATGTTTTTTAATTTCTGAATTATGGGTTTCTATTAGCTTTTTATTTCTAAAATTTGCTTTGTCAGAGAGTGTGTTGTGTGAATTGACACTTAAATTTGGTAAGATTCACTTTATAGTTGGCATATAGTCAATTTTTATTATTTTATATATGATTATAAAGAGCTTCACATATGCCCATTAGATCAAATTTAATTTTTTAAATTATCATTCACATTTTCTGTATTCTCATTGAACTTTTTTTGGTGGTTATTTGATCTTTAAGTTATCAAGAATTTTTTTAAATCTTGATTTATGCTTGTAGTTCTGTATTCACATTTTTTAAAAAAATTTGAGATAGGGTCTCACTCTGTCACCCAGGCTGGAGTGCAGTGGCCTCATCATAGCTTACTGCAGCTTCGAACTCCTAGGCTCAAATGATCCTCCTGGCTTAGCCTCCTAAGTAGCTGGGACTGTAGGAGTGCACCACACTATGCCTCGCTAATTTTTCTATTTTTTTTTTTTTTTTTAAGAGACAGGGTCTTGCTCTTGCTCAGGCTAGTCTCTCGAACTCCTGGTCTCAAGCAATCCTCCTGCCTCAGCCTCCCAGAATGCTAGGATTGTTCACATATTTTGAAGCTATATTATTTGGAGGATACAGGTTAAGAATTGTTATATCTTCCTGGGGGAACTTTTGTCAATATCTACTTTTTTCCCCTGCCTGAAGTTTTTTGTGTGATATTTTTGGGAACCAGTTTTCTTTTGGTTGGTGTCTACTTTCGTCCATTTACTTTTTAACTTTTTGCTTCTTTGTCATAGGCATAGTTCTTATAAACATTATCAGCCTAATTTTGTTTTCTATCTAGTCTTGGTATTAATACTTTTTTTTTTAATAAAGGATTCTGGTTGATCTGAAAAATGAAGTTTGGTATCAAAAATGCCATGATCCTGTATGTAAAGCAGAAAACTTCAAATCTGACTGTGAGTTATTAATTTTTGGATTTTTCTCAAAAGTAAAAATTAGGTATCTATATTAAACAGTTTTACTATCTTTCTGATTCAGGTTTTCCACTACCTGCTGAAGTATGTCTCCTGTTTCTTTTCAAAGATGTAAGTGCAATTTTTAGTGTCTTTTCATTACAAACTAGCTCTTGGTACAATAGTATACATGAGTTATAAGCAGTGTCTGTGTGTGTCCAGATAGCTTTTAAACAGTGTTTGGTACTTTGTTTTCATTTAGGAATATACTGTAACAATTTTCCCATCTCATCACATATCTGATGATATGCACCTCTTTTTTATTGCTGCATGAGAAATTGTATAATCAACTTAACCAGTCCTAGACATTTAAGAAGTTTCTCATATTTTTGTTTTACAAAGTAAACCAAAATTCTCGTCTTTGTTTCTTTGAACTATATCTGTAGAATGAATTTATAGAAGGAGAATATTGCCAAAGAGTATATGCAGTTTTAATTTTGGGTAAATATTACCAGTTTGCCAAATCAGCATTTTTCTTATACTTTTATTTACCCAAATAGTTAACATGTATTATAAAATGAATTAGAAAATACATAAAATTGGAAAACACAGAAGCAGCAAAAGGGGAAAGAATCTTCCTCTATCATAATTTGGCCACAGAAAACTGTATAAATGGTTTGGATATATCTTCCAGAATTTATACTTTGTATGTTTTCTGGGTTTTTTTAAGTTATAGTATACATACTATTTGGAGGGTATTTTTCTACTTAAAGTATCACAAGTATTTTCAGTAGTACCTATTACCAAATTGTTTTCCATAAAAATTACAAGATACTAGACTTACACAAGTAATTAATTTATGAGAACACCTATTAACCCACACTTTGGCCAACATTGCTTATGTTTACCTTCTAATCAATACCAATCTGGAGGCAAAAAGTGTAATTTTAGTTGTTTTAATTTGCATTTCCTTAATGAAGGTGAACTTTTTCCAGATTTACTATTTTTATTTCTATTCTGAATTGCCTGTATACCTGTCCTCTATTTTTCTATACCATCTTAGTATTTTTTACAAGAATTTTTTTTAAAGTACTCTTTTTGACATATTTTAACATATTAACTGCCATGTGAGTTGTACCTAACTCACTCTAGTTTTGAGTGTTGGGGCTTGTGAAGCAAAACCATGCATTTGGTTCACGAAAATCTTGATGTTTTTATCATTACAATTGATAGTTTAATTCTAAAAACATGAATTGTGTTGCATATAACTCATGCACAGAAAAAAATAACAAATTAGAAAGGATCATTTTAATAAAACACCATGGCCTCAGGGGAAAAAATTTTTTTTTCTAGTGTAGCAGTCAATGTGTTAAATTTTAAAATTTTACCTTTTGTTTACATCTATCAGTCTTTTATAGTGTTATGGTTAGAATAGAAGTTACCTGCTATAAATTGAATAAGTGCTTGAATTTACATTCTAGAAAACTCAACCTGGTATTTGTTCAATCTGATTTTAAAAATGTCTCTTGCAAAAACTCCATCAAAGTTTGAAATGGTAGAAATCCCATCTTTGGTCTGTAAGAGCTGGACATAAAATACTGATAGCCAAATTCTCTAACTACTGGGCTAAAAAGTGTTTTGAAATAACCAAGAACAAATTGTAAGACGGGTAGGAATGTATTGTCCTTGTTAGAATGTTATGATGTTCATCTATGTTTTGATGCGTATGGTTTTGGTAGATTTTTTTATATTTTATTTTATTTATTTTATTTTATTTGAGTCTCGCTTTGTTGCTCAGGCTAGAGTGAGTGCCGTGGCGTCAGCCTAGCTCACAGCAACCTCAAACTCCTGGGCTCAAGCAATCCTACTGCCTCAACCTCCCGAGTAGCTGGGACTACAGGCATGTGCCACCATGCCCGGCTAATTTTTTCTATATATATTAGTTGGCCAATTAATTTCTTTCTATTTTTAGTAGAGACGGGGTCTCACCCTTGCTCAGGCTGGTTTCAAACTCCTGACCTCCAGCAATCCGCCCACCTTGGCCTTCCAGAGTGCTAGGATTACAGGCGTGAGCCACCGCACCTGGCTGGTTTTGGTAGATTTTTAAGAAGTATTTTTTCTGCGTATCCAGTAATACGTCAGAAATGCCAAGTTGAAAGTACTTTTGGTACACTTACTAGTGCTACTGGAACATAACTTATTGTTTAAAATAATACAAGCTAAATAAAATATAATGAACACACATGTACCTATTAGTTTTAACAGTTAACATTTGATTGTTTCTGCTTCATCTGTTTTTAAGTATTTTAAACCAAATTACCAGTGTTATTTACCTGCATTTCTATTGCATTGATCTTATTAGTGTACTGATCACCTAAATATTGATTAGAAATTTTACAAATGTCTAACCTACAGAAATGTATAAGAGTAAGGAATTCTCTTGTCCTTTGCCTAGATTTGCCATTTATTAACATTTGGCCATGTTTGTTTTCTCCCTCTACTATAAACATATGCATTATTATTGATGGATCTCTTGAGAATAAATTGCACACATCAAAATCCTCCATCTCTTAATATTTAAGCATGTAGCTAAAGAATAAAGACTTCTTACATAGCAATGGTAAAATTCAGGAAATTTTACATTGATACAATACTATTATCTCATATATAATCCATAGTCCTATTTTGGCAGTTGCTCCAAATTTGTTCTTTGTAACAATTTTCTTAATCCATATTCTTAATTTTTAAAATACTTTGAAATTAGGGAAATAAATCCATTGTCAAGATAGCAAATGTTTTTTCCAATTTGTCTTTAGCTGGGCTGTCCAATTGTTAAATTAAGTCTGCCCTTGCTCTATCCCCATCTTGGGATACTGAAGTGTCACAAAACTGCAGGTAATTTCAAATTTGGAGTTTTAAATGTGTCTGAGCTGAATGGCAGCAACATTTGAAATAAGTGCCCTCATTCCCACAATGACTAAATTGGAGGTAGTATTCCTCCAGCATATTCATTTTACTGTCTGTTGAATTAAGGTCTTAAGTAATGGCCAATTCTTCAATATAGATTGAATATATAGTGCAATCATCAGTATTCTGATTAAACCTTTATTTTTCTATCCCACTTTCCTTCACCTTTCCTCATTGAAATTAAGGAAGAGGAGTTTCCAGCAGATGAAGCAGATGAAACTGGGAACAATAAAACCAAGAATCCTCATAAACAGTCACCTAATAAGTCATCAACAGGTATATCTTCTGATGTGGACTGGGATAATGGCATTGAAGATGCTTACTTTTTAGAAGCCACTGAAGATGCTGAATTAGTTGAAGCTGCAGAGAATAGTCTTCTCAGTTACAATGGTATAGATGATGAAATTCCTGATGAACTAATTATAGAAGTATTACAAGAGTAGCTAATTAACTGTGGACACTTAAATAACCAGGCTATAATTTGCCCAAAGTCTGAGATTTGGTAACATATTAAATTATTAACTTATTATTAAACCTGTTTATATCAATTAAGTTGTATCACTTTTTCAGGTTTTTTTTTTTTTTAATTGAAACCAATTTTGTTGAAAATTAGCCTTGGTGTACTACTAAAATTCAGTAGAAATCTTATGGGTTAAAACTCTTACATGTCTGGGGCTGATTGATCAGGTGGTAACATTTTAAATTTTATTACTCAAGACACTAGATTTTGGCCTCTAAAACTATTAGAGACTCAAACTGGTGCCGTTAACATTGTTCACATTGAATTTGGGCAAAGTAATATTAAATTCTGGTGACTAGGCTATACTTCAAAAAGAATTTTTATTTATACAAGTACAGTTTCAGAAGGTAACAGACAATAGCATGAGACTGATCTTTATATAGGCACATTTAGGTAGACTGGTCTTCTCATTCCTGGTCAAGGAGCTTCTCTAATTGATGGTTGATATTTTGCAGATGGGTTTCAGCCCCCAAAATGGTTCTTGTGTTAAATAACAGAGCTGGAAGGCTAGATGAATCATACTGTTGAAACAAAATAATTTAGATTAACAAGTATCAAAAACTTTTATAACCCTGGCTTTACATAGTTCAAGCTTATGACCAATGCCCATTTTTATAGAGCTTTCCATTAACTATAATACTTTCATTTTTTAAACTAGGACCATTGAGAAAGTTGGCTTTTATCCATTTCCTTAGGACATAATTGATAATATAAACTTGCAAGAGAACCGCTCAGCAAAGCTTGAACTGATCTCATCCCAGACAACTAGTTGAGGTTCAGAGAATTATTTAAAAGAGAAAATCATGCCTGAGACAGGTCAAGCATCGGTCTGCTTGATCTTGAGTCTATTTTAAAACACAAGAAACTGCAAAAGTAGGTTTTACTTTTACTGTAAGAACCAATGGAATAGGAATTCTGGGTCTATAAAAGTTCATAAGAAAAACCAAACATCTGGCAAGGCGTAGTCAGTGGTTCATGCCTGTAATTCTAGAACTCTGGGAGGCTGAGTTGGGAGGATTGCTTGAGCTCAGGAGTCCAAGACCAGCCAGAGTGAGACTCTGTCTCTACTAAAAACAGAAAAAATTAGCAGGGCATGGTGGCACATGTCTGTAGTCCCATCTACTTGGAAGGCTGAGGCAGGAGGATCCCTTGAGCCCAGGAGTTTGAAGTTGCAGTGAGCTATGATGAGGCCACTGTACCCTACCCAGGGTGATAGTGAGACTGTCTCAAAAAAGAAAAACCTAATGTCTATCATCTAGAAAAATTTTTTATTATTCAAGATCAATTAAATGTCTTAAAGGTTGCCAATCCAGATGTTCTTAATGATTAAAGACAAAATTAGAATACAAACCCAACCAGAAACAGAACACAAAATCCAACTCAATTCAACTTAAATATTTGAGAGCCTGATGTTTCCAAGATGTCATGGGCACCTTCTCTCAGGGAGGGATGGAGGGGAAGAACTCTCATTTGGGCAGTGCTAGAGGTTTAGTTTAGGAAACAAGGTAGGACGTATACCCAAATATCTATACTGTATAAGGCAAAAAGACAGATGCTAGTATAGAAGTACAAGCTATTGGGCATGCAAAGACTAGGATGCTCCTAAGAGTGGTGCATTCTAAACAAGGTAGAGTCACTCTCAGTTTTAACCAAAGTAATTATGTTCAAGTTGAATTAATGATACTATTTCTCCAAATTTAATAATCAAATCTCTAACTCCAAATAATAAGCGTAAGACTAGTTAAATACCAAAAAACAAAACTATTTCCCGATCTATAATATAAACCTTAGGCTCAAGAGAATTAGATCAGTGTCAAAATCTTAAAATTGAATTTAGAAGAATACAAATCTGATTGTAAGATACATGTATACAGTATATTTAATTATATATCATATAAAATATTAAGGTATAGAAATACAAATATTTTTCTATAACGTAAACATTTCCATCAATCTTTGCTGGATGGCCTGCAGAACAAACCCAGAAGCAACTACAAAATTTATTAAAACAGTAACATACCACATTTTTTCCTACTATATATGTTTTGTTTCTCTACTTCTAAAATCACACCATTTATATGGGATAATGGCTTGTTTTTCAGATACAAAAGATACTTTGAGCAAGGGCTAGACAAAGAGCAAGAGTGTCTTCCAAACATGTCTAAGTGGTCTTATAAGCAGAATGTGGCTGTTAACTGAGACTTATATGAAGAGTATATACTTCCCTTGATGAAATCCAGTTCTTTGAAGTGCAAATACCTTAAAAAAGAAAAAATCAATGATTCTGAATTTTTTTCCTACTCTTCTAGCCTTCATTAAACAGCTAAGAAAAGTGAGGGTATAACAAATCTTCACTGCTTTATAGTGATGCTGTTGTGGGTGGACTCTAATGTTGCACATGCATTTATCTTCCCTCAAAGCCTCTGGTATCCAGCATGCAAATGCCCTTGATCATCCTGGAAAGCACAGTAGAAAGTAAAAATCGGAGTTACCGTTTCCTTTATTTTTGGTTTTTTCTCTTGAACATCTGAATAATCTTGATAAAGTTGTTTTAAATTAGATAAGAAATATGCTGCATTCTTAAGAGAAGACTTTCTCTCCTTAAGTTCATCATATTTTGTTTGTAGTTGTTTCAGCTCTGGCTCTAACCTAAAACAAAAAATATTTTTCCAAAGATGAATGACATAAGTATATGTCATATATGACATAAGTATAACAGCACCTAGTACCCCTTAATGCCCATCACTGTGAAGCACTTTCTGTGTATTTACTCATTTACTTCCCACAAAATCCTATGAGGTGTAGGTAGTACTATGCCTGTATTCAAAAGAGGGAACTGAGGCACGGAGAGGTTAAGTAACTCACCCAAGGTTGGATAGCCAGTAAATGGCAGAGTGTGGTTTCAAACCCAAGCAGTGGAATTTTAGAGTCTGTATGTAAAAACTCTAATTAGGCTGCCTCCCAGGCCAGGGCTGAGAGAGCTGTTGAGAGACAGATCAGTGCTGAATTCTCCCTTGCTAGGCGTTCTGCAACTAGGAAGCATGGCCACCCGTCACTGAGCATCCAACCTCAAAGTTGGCCAGGGGCTTTAATATGACAGGTCAGCAAATACTACTGACCCAAATGACACAATTGTATTTTTGTAAGTAAGTTTTGATTTTGATATTATCTTACCGAAGTAGTTCATCTTGGACTTCAATTAAACGCTGCCTCTTCTTTTCGATACCTGAAATCATCTAAATAATACAATCATTTCTGTGTTAAATGAATTTTATAAATACTAGCACTCTCCTGTACACTGTGCCAGGTATTAAAGTACAGTGGGAAACAAGACACCCAATTCTTACCGCCATGGGACTTTGGTCTAATGGGGAAGACAGACATTGCTTATAAACAGTAAGTGATTACAACTTGTGACATTTTCTATAAGGGAAAAGAACAGCAGGGGCATCTACGTCAGGACAACTCTGAAGGAGGAGGTGGGGGCCAGGTACTTACTAGACCCTGTAACCTATAAGGTAAGAACTGGGAGATTTTATCTAGGTGCGCTTGGAAAATATCGAAGCAGGGGAGTTCCATGATACACTTTGTATTTTAAAAAGAACATTTCAATATTATAAATTTTATTAACTCAGCTATCACTTTTAGTGACTACCTAATATTCCATTTCAGACACTCAGAATGTTCCCACCTGCTTACAAGCAATGCAGAAATGACCAATAAGACTAAAACTGAAAGAACAACAAAAAAATCCTAAGGCTTATAATCACTTATAATCACTGGAAGCCCATTTCTATAATAAATGTAGAGGTGGGATTGGCTGTCCATCCCTGTGCTCCCCTCTGAGGTCATCTGGTCCAACCTTACAGACAAGAAAGGGGGGTCTGGGGCCGGCTGGCTTATCCCCCACTGCACACCTCATGGGGGACAGTTATCAAGATGCCGCAACATTGAAGCAACAGAACCAGGACTAGATACGAGGTCTCCTCATCCCTAACCCAGTGTACTTCCCAGGCCGTCCTTTTACCTGGGACAATTCTTAATTCAAAAAGGTTTTGCTTTTTGACATCCACAAATGCAATAAAGACACGCTACTTAATATCCACATAAGTGGTCATATTGTACTTGATAGCCATTTTTAGGTTAACTTTGGGACATTAAGGGCTTAGGTTAGGCGCAGTGGCTTACGCCTGTAATCCTAGCACTCTGGGAGGCCAAGGCGGGCGGATTGCTCGAGGTCAGGAGTTCGAAACCAGCCTGAGCATGAGCGAGACCCCGTCTCTACTATAAATAGAAAGAAATTAATTGGCCAACTAATATATATAGGTAAAATGAGCCGGGCATGGTGGCGCATGCCTGTAGTCCCAGCTACTTGGAAGGCTGAGGCAGGAGGATCACTTGAGCCCAGGAGATTGAGGTTGCTGTGAGCTAGGCAGGAGGATCACTTGAGCCCAGGATATTGAGGTTGCTGTGAGCTAGGCTGACGCCATGGCACTCACTCTAGTCTGGGCAACAAAGTGAGACTCTGTCTCCAAAAAGAAAAAGAAAGGGCTTAAATTTCTGTCAATTATTAAAAACAGACATTTGCACAGCTGTAGGAAACAAAGGTGACTAGGACCCCCACCATTCCTTAAGCTTGCCTAGTATTTGCCAGATCAACCACATGATCAACCAAATAACAGCCTGACTAGAAAGATTTAAAATCCTGGCCGGGCGCGGTGGCTCACGCCTGTAATCCTAGCTCTCTGGGAGGCCGAGGCGGGCGGATTGCTCAAGGTCAGGAGTTCAAAAACAGCCTGAGCAAGAACGAGACCCCGTCTCTACTATAAAAATAGAAATAAATTAATTGGCCAACTGATATGTATATAAAAAATCAGCCGGGCATGGTGGCGCATGCTTGTAGTCCCAGCTACTCGGGAGGCTGAGGCAGAAGGATCGCTCGAGCCCAGGAGTGTGAGGTTGCTGTGAGCTAGGCTGACGCCACGGCACTCACTCTAGCCTGGACAACAAAGCGAGACTCTGTCTCAAAAAAAAAAAAAAAAAAAAAAAAAGATTTAAAATCCTATAAAGTCTAAAGGTTATAAAACCCAGAATCAAGTATTTATTTAACCCTACAT